TTGCGGGTGTGAGTTACTGGCCAGAGTGCTTTTCTAGAGGCACCTCTCTCTGCTATGGAGGTTGAAGCCATCCTGGAACTCATCCCTGTGGTCACTTCTGGATCTGAAAATTGGTTGCACCCATGCATGGAGGTGGGGCCGGAGCGTGAGGGAGTGTGTAGGCCCAGGACAGGTGGCATTTTTAGAGTCTTGCCCAACGGACAGCGAGGGCTCAGGGCGAGACGTGAGGGATTGGAGTGTGGGACATAGTCCCAGGAGCAGTAGGCTTTGGAGACTGAGAAGCCCTGCAAGGGAAGGTTTGGGGGGACTGGAACCTGGGGTACAGAGAGAAGGGCGGAAGCCTGGAGAACCGATGAGTTAAGCCCAAGTTGACCCCAAGGCACAAGCTTGGTAATCACTGCACTCCCCAAAGGGGAGAAGGCTTGTTGGATGGGAATGCAAGATACCATGGGATGAACAGTGGATATTGAGAAGGGGGTAGACCAGGAAAGGTGGACCAGAAGAAGGCAGGGCTCAGACTGAAGACGGGAGGGTTTGAGCAACCAGAGGGAAGTGAGGATGCTGGAGTGGGAGGCACCAGGTTTGAGTACTGTCCCTGCCACTCAGGCTGGAGATCCAAGGCCAGCCTGTTGCCCTCTGTGAAGCTCAGTGGAGTGCCCACCACACGTGGCTGTTGAGGATTAAGTGGGGCCTGGGTATGAACATGCTGTCTGAATTGAAGTTTGGAGGACATGAGTAACCAATAAGTTGCAGATGAGGCTGGGAAAGAGACTGCTGAGGGCCACAGTGTTTATTTGATAGTGGGGGAGCCTGGGATGGGAGTCCCAGATAGCATGAGCAGAGGCACAGTGTTCCAAAATTTGAGGCGTGAACCGAGAAGTCAGAATGGCTCACAGTGCCTGACTGGCCAGGCTGGGTGAGGGGAGGGGTAGGAAAGGTGGCTGGGGCAGATGGTGAGAGGCCTTGAATGCCAGGCTAAGGGGTTCTAACTGTAGGGAGAGCCATGGGAGGGTCCTAAGCAGAGGTGTTAGATACTTCTGGAGCTGGTGAGCATAGCATATAGCAGATGCCTAGCCAGCTTGGGAGTCAGGGCACGCTTCCAGAAGGCTGAGGAGGAACCTGCTAGCAAAGGAAAACACCTAGAGCCACACAAGTTCAAGGTCTAGTTGGGGCTGTAAGATACTGTGTGTGGTTGGAGCAAGGGAGGGGGAGGTGAGGTGAAGTGGCTGGGCTGCCTCATCCCAGGTGGAGGAACTTGGGGACTTCGTCCTCAGGGTACTGGGGCCCTGACAAGGTTTTCAGTGGTGGTGCACAAGTGTTATCTGACACAGCTATGAGAAGAGTCTGTCGGTCATCATGGGAGGGGAACTGGAGGCCAGGAAACCAAGGAGAAGGCTGGTACAAGGGCCCAGGTGAGCTGAGGCTTGGGGAATGGAGGGCAACACACAGCTCTGAGAATATTTCAGGATGAGAGAGTGGATAGAGCCTGGTGCCGATCTGGCTTTGGGGAGTAAGAAAATGTGTGTGAGGCAGAGTGAGGACATTTGAGGTTCCAGACTCCTGTAAATGATGGGGCTTCATCATGATCATGTTCTGGGACCACAAGCAGGTGTTTGTTTTTTTTTTGGGGGGGGGCAGAGATAATGCTTCACTTTTGGATAAAGTGATTAAATTCATTCATTCATTCATTCATTCTGCAACCAACAATTGAATTGAGCCCCTCTACTCTCCTGAGACCTTTGCTAGATCCTGAAGATAGAATGTTGACCAGGACAGAACTGGGCCCTGCCTTCATGCAGAATGGGAAAGGCAGGCAGTAAAACAGCAAATCAGTAAATAAGCAAGTCCATCATGGACGGCAACATGGGATGTGAAGGAAAGGAGACGAGAGAGGTGGGTGGGGCAGTATGGTGGTGATGGGGGCCAGTTCATACAGGGCCTGGAAGGGCTTCTGTGTTTTATTCTAAGTGCAGCAAGGATGATTTTCAGTTAGGGAATGACAATTTAGTGGGTTTAAAAAAATTGCTGCAGGGCCGGCCGAGTGGCGCGATGGTTAAGAACTCGCTTGGGATGCCAGAGGGCCCCGGTTCGGATCCCACATATGAGGGCCAGTGACACTGCCCTCCACAGCTAAGATGCTGAACAACAGCTCAACCTGGAGCTGGGCTGCCATGAGTCGCCGGCGACGGCGTGGGCTGCAGTCCCTGTGGCAGTGGATTGCCATGGGCTACCGTGTGTGGCCAGCAGCCAGCGTGAGCGGCCAGCAGCCAGCGTGAGCGGCCAGCAGCCGCAGTGAGCGGCCGTCCAGAAGCCGGCGACTGATCTGCCTCACCAGAGAAGAGCGCAGTGATGGTGCCAACTTGGGCCAGTGAAGCAACATCCTCCACAACTAGATTGAAGAACAAAAAAAACGACAGCAACTTGTCTGTTCCCCTTCCCCCAATTCCCCAGCACTGTTCCCATCCCCCCAATTCCCCAATAAAAAAAAATTAAAAAAAAAATTGCTGCAATATTGCCATAGAGGACCAGAGGAGGCAGAGAGGTGGGTGGGAGGCTGTTGCTATAAACCATGGTTTGCAGTGGGGTAGTGGCAGTGGTGGGTTGGGGAGAAGTGTGAGGTGCAGATAGTAGTTACAAGCTCCGACTTGGGTCAGGCAGAAGCAAGTGATGTCCTGGCTCCCTGTGGGTGTGTTACTGCAGGCCAAACAAATGATCTCTCTGTGCTTGGGTTTCCTCATCTATGAAACAGGTATCCTGTGGCAGTTACCTTGTGGGCCTGTTCTGAGGATGTGGTGCATTTAGTAATGGCCTGCACCATAGTGAGGGATCAATAAGTGTTGGTCATTGTCATTATTTCTGGGGATGGGGGTGGGTATATGGGTCTGAAACTCAAGAAAGGGGTTTGGGTGGGAGACTCAGATTGGGTAGGTTGTCTGTGTAGACCACGAGCAATGTTGCTCAATGGGGGACATTTGGCAAAGTCTGTTGTCACCACGGTAAGCAGGGAGAGTGTAAGGGAGGGTGCTATTCACATCTAGAGGTTAGAGGCCAGGGATACTGCTTAACATCCTCCGATGCACAGGACAGCTGCCCACAACAGAGCCATCTGGCCCCAGAATGTTAGTAGTGCCAAAGCTGAGAAAGCCAGGTGTGGACAGAAGGTGTGGTTACCCCTTTAAATCAGGCATGCCCTGTCAGTTCACCAGTGTTCACTCTCCCCATGAAATTACCAGAGCAAGAACCTCTAGATTCTAGAGTCTAGAAAAAGGCTGCCCAGTAGAAATGGAACGTGAGCCACACTAAAACAAATGAAAAGGAACAGGTGAAATTTATTTTAGTAACATTCCTTACTTAATCCAACATGTTCAAAGCAGTATGGTTTCAAAATGTAATCAATATAAAAGCCATTCTTGTACACTCTTCTTTTCCTACGACGTCTTGGGAATCCTTGGGTGCCCTTTTTGGCCTTTGAAGGTGGATTACAGCAGTCCCTTAAGGTAGGCAGCCACCAGCCACGTGTGGCTATTTAGATTTAAATTAAGATCATATTAAAATCCTGGTCCTCAGCGGCACTAGCCACTATCAAGTGTGTAACAGCGCCACGTGGCTAGTGGCTGTCCCATTGGACAGCACACAAATCAAAGAACATTTCTGTCATCGCAGAAAGTTCTTTTTGACGGCTCTCCAGGACGCAGCTCAGGCCTACAGGGGTCCCGGAACTGGGCGCGGCAATAAGGCCCCTTCTCCCCACTCTGCGCTCCCACCGCTCCGGACCCCCATGCTTCTGGGGTGTCCCCCTCTGGCCCTACCCGGAGGCGGTGGACCCCGCAGGCCGCTTGCAGCGCGCTCCTCGCCCCGCAACTACCTGCTTATGGACACGCGCCATCTACCTGCTTCAAGTTCACCGCGCAGCTGGAGGACGAGATGCGGATGTCTTAAGTGCAGCTCCCGCGAGCACCTGAAGGGCCACCGCGATCGCACTACACGCTCCAGCTTTCGTGCGTGCGGCCCGGCCTTTGAGCGCTCCAGTCACATGGCGCGGCCCCGGAGCACAATCTCTGCACGCCTGCCCGCGCCGCTTCCCCGCCTCGGTTTCTCCATCTGCCGGGTGGGAAGTGCCCCACTTCCCCCATCGCTATCTTGCTGTATCTGGTCTACTCTGGGCCTTAGTTTCCCAATATGCTGGGCGGGCAAATCATGGCAGTGCCACATCGGAGCCAATGGCTGGCCTCTGGACTTGGGCCTCCGCAATTGCCCCACCAACAGACAACGTCTCTCCTCCCGCCGTGGGCATTGTTGGGCAGGGGACGCAAGCGGGGCCACCCAGTGGAAACAGGACAAACTGAGCGCTCCATTCCTTGTGGAACTTCGGGCAGACTTAGCTGCACCTAGCCTCAGTTTAAATCGATCACTCTCACAGCGACCGAACTGTTCCTGTCGGGGGTGGGAAAGGAGCGGGAAGGAAAGGGGAGCGCTTCTCGGTTCGCGTGCCCTTGCCCTGCGCCCCCGGAGATGCGCGATAAAGGCGGGCAGTGAAACCCGCCCGTTCTAGGGAGGCGGAACCTTCGTGGCGGCGCGCGGGTTTCCGGCCGGTGCCCTTTCCCAGGGACGCCGCCGCCCCTCGCGCCCCCGCTCCCGCGCCCCCCGCGCCCGTATCCCCGGCGCCGCGGGCCCGGAGCTCCCGGAAGTCTCGGTCCCGTCGCCGCCGGCACTCGCGAGGGGAAGCCGGGGCCGCCCGGGACCTCGTCCCGCTCCTCCGGACCCGAAAGGCTGCCACACCTGGTACGGGGGACGGGACGGAGGGAGGAGCCTGGCTCCGGGACGGCGCGAAGCCGGGCAGGGCGGGGGAGGGGCTGGCGCTCCCGGGATGGGGGTGGGGCAGGATGGGGAAGGAGCCGGGCAGATGGAGACTACAGTGCTCTTTGCAGAAGTGGGGGGGGACGACGAAGGGGGCTTCAGGGGTGCAGCGGGGGGAGGGACAGAGGGGTGCTGGGATTACTGGAGGAAGGGGACAGAGAACCGGGTGGAGGCGCCGTGCTGGATATAGCAGGGCGAGCGAGGGATGGAGAAATAGATACCAGCTGCACACAGAAAGGAGGGCAAGGGGGCTTGGGAGAGGTAGTTTGGGAAAGGGACCCTAGAGGCCCTGGTGTATGTGAGGGGGAGGAGGCACTGAGGGGTATAGAGATAAGTGAAGATGTCCGGTGGCTTATATGTAGGGCTGGGGAGAGAAGCACCCTTGTGGGGGAATGCAGCGAGTTCAGGGGCCCTGGGGTACACAGAAGGCATGCAGCCGAGGGTCTTGGAGACGTATCATGAAATCGAGATGATGGATTAGAAGTGGGGCGAGTATATGGAGACTTTGAGGTGCTAAGGGTAGGAACAGGACAGAGGAGCCCTGAGTGAAAAGTGGGGAATTGGCTTAGTGGGGCTCTGGGGATGTACCTGGAGAGGAAATTGGGAGGACTCGGTGTATCTAGAGATGGGGAGGACTTAACAGGGCACCTAGTGGGGATGCAGATCTAGGAAGGCCCTGGGGCCCGGAGAATGGGCTGCTGCGTGTTTCTTGGGAGAGAGTGCAACCAGGGCTGTGGCTGGGAAGAAGAGGCAGCAACGCTTTAGAGAAAGTCAGGAGGCCAGAAGGGCTCAGGCTGCGAGATAAGAGAGGCCAAAACGATGTAAGGAGGATAAGTCAACTTGGAGATTGAATGGCTTTTGTGGGGGTAGGCAAGTGGCAGGATGCTGCCCTTCTGTCTGGTCTCGGGCCGAGAGGAGGACCAGGAGGAAAGGCACGTTGGGGTGGGGATAGGCCGAACTCGGTTGGAAGCGTCGCTGAAGCCGGTTGGAAGCGTTGCTGAAGCAGCTTGATGGAGCCAGAGCGGTTGTGACCTGGAGTCACAGTTTCTTTTTTATAGGGTAGGTTGGTCAGTAGTACGGAGGAGGTAGGGACGCTTTCCCCAGGAAGTGGCGATTTTAACTTTTCTCTCGTCCGCCGCTCTCAGTTGCCGCTCCAGATGCTGCTGCTGCCCCCGCGGCCACCCCACCCTCGGTCCTCCTCTCCGGAGGCCATGGACCCACCGCCCCCCAAGACTCCCCCTTTCCCCAAGACGGAAAGCCCTTCCTCCACTTCTCCCTCAGCTGCGGGGCCACGACCCCCGCGGCTGGGCCGCCACCTGCTCATCGACGCCAACGGAGTCCCCTACACGTACACGGTGCAGCTGGAGGAGGAGCCCCGGGGACCGCCCCAGCGCGAGGCACCCCCGGGAGAGCCCGGCCCTCGCAAGGGCTACAGCTGCCCAGAGTGCGCTCGTGTGTTTGCCAGCCCTCTGCGGCTGCAGAGCCACCGCGTGTCACACTCGGACCTCAAGCCCTTTACGTGCGGCGCCTGCGGCAAGGCCTTCAAGCGCTCCAGCCACCTGTCCCGGCACCGTGCCACGCACCGCGCCAGCGCTGGCCCACCGCACACCTGTCCCCTCTGCCCGCGCCGCTTCCAGGACGCCGCGGAGCTGGCGCAGCACGTGCGTCTCCACTAAGCTCATACCCGGCTCTGGGCCTCCGCGTCTGTCCCACACAGTGGCACTCCCACACACATTCCCAGGCTGAGGTTATTGCCTTACACTGGGCCTCAGTTTCCCCATCCAAAGGGAGAAGCGTCATTCCTTCCTTTCCTACCTAGCTGTGTGATGTAGACCAGTCTTTGCCCCTCCCTGGGTCTGGGAGCCAGTCGGAACTGGGTTCCGGCCCAGCTGTGCTGTGTGAGCCTTTGCAAGTGACTTAATCTTTCTGAGCTCTGGTTTTCTGCCCTGAAGTGGTAAACGGTTGTCTGCGTGGAAGGTTTGACAAAAGAACACAGGCACGGTCTGGTTCCCTTTCTGTATCTATCCCCTTCCATCCACTCCCTTCACCCTTTATTCAATAAACATTCCGCACTCCACTTTAGGGCTCTTATTTACGAATGGGGGTAGGGTTGGGGTAAGAGGGGTTGGCAGTAGAGACCGGACCATGAGCACCTGGGAACCATCATCGCAGTCTGTGTTTCTGTCCGGAGCCCTTTCCCAAAGGCCCAGGCGCCCCGCCCCCACCTTCCTCCCCTAGACCCTCTTCTCAGTCCCCCGGTCCTCTCTCCCTTTACTGGCGCCGCTAGCTCCTGGGGGACCTCCAGAGCCCCACGTGCCGCCGCCGCCTGCCACCAGGGGAGTAGCCCGGGGCCGTTCCGGCGTCGCCCGGACCCGAGAGGCTGCTGCACCGGGTACGGGGGCCGGGAGGCGGGCGAGGGCCGCGGAGGGGGCGGGGCCGGGCGTGCGGGGATCTGCGCGCGGGGCGGGGAGGACGGCCCTGCGGGCTCCGAGCGGGCGCTGCCCACAATTCGCGTAGAGGCTCGGAGGCCGGGCCACGGGTGGACCTTTGGGGAGCGCTAGGACCTAGAAAGATCTTGGGGTGGGTGGGCGTGGACTAGAGAGCCTGGAGGTAGCTGGCCAGGGGAGGGGTAGAGGTGTTCAGGGAGGTGGCTAGCGCTGGTTGGTACCGGGGGTCCTAACGTGGTAGCCCGTATGAGAAGCCTTGGGTGTGTATAGAGGGGTAGACAGGCTTCTGGGTGCAGTGTGTAGGGCCAGGAGCAGTAGACAAGGGACAGAGAGGCCTGGAGGTCTGTTGGGTGGGGCCTCCAGATGCCCTGCGGGCTGGCCAGAGTAGAGGGGCACCCGGTGACCTGAGGAGGGCACAAAGGGTTAAGACAGTGAGGTGCGTGTTGTGCTTAGCCGGGCAGCGATCCTGTGCCTATAGTGGGTGGCGGAACAGAGAATAGGAGGGGTTTCCCGAGGGAGACCCTAGGAACCTTACAGATAGTCAAGAACCCAGGGTACAAGGACTGGTGGAGAGATGGAGGATGATGGATACGAAGATTTGGGGCAGGGTCCACAGAAGGGGAAGGAATGGAGCCATGGGGCCAGGCTTCCCTTTTGAGTGTAACCTCCCCCTCTCTCCCACCCACCAGGCCTCAGCCACCCTCCGGATGCTGGTGCTGCCGGCCCCTTGCCCCCAGCCCCTCGTGCTGCCCTCGGTTGAGGCCATGGAGGCCCCTCCCCCTCAGACAGGCCGGTCCCCAGAACCCGGACCTTCCTCCTCCACAGGATCTCCCCAGACCTCATCCCCTCCGAGACCCAACCATTACCTGCTCATTGACACCCAGGGTGTCCCATACACCGTGCTGGTGGACGAGGAGACTCAGAGGCAGCCCGGGGCTGATGGGGCTTCACCTCAGAAAAAGTGCTACAGCTGCCCTGTGTGCTCCCGGGTCTTCGAGTACATGTCGTATCTCCAGCGACACAGCATCACCCACTCGGAGGTGAAGCCCTTCGAGTGTGACATCTGCGGGAAGGCATTCAAGCGGGCTAGTCACCTGGCACGGCATCACTCCATTCACCGGGCCGGTGGTGGGCGGCCCCATGGCTGTCCGCTCTGCCCTCGCCGTTTCCGCGAGGCGGGCGAGCTGGCCCAGCACAGCCGGGTTCACTCGGGGGAGCGACCGTTTCAGTGCCCGCACTGCCCCCGCCGGTTTATGGAGCAGAACACGCTGCAGAAGCACACTCGGTGGAAGCATCCGTGAACCGGGTTGCAGGGTACCCCAGGTACCATGGGATCTGAGGGAGCCTGGACTCCTGTCGTCCTCAGACACCCCGCGAGCACCCGAGGCTTGGTCGTGGGGCCTGGGCACAAACACAGACCCATCTCTTGTGGAGGCTGAGTCCTGCTGAAGCAGGGGCTCACAAATAATCTTCAGGTCCATGTGTTTTCGAGATAAGATGGGAACAAGATGTCACATTCAGAGCAGAGTCCTCTAGCCTCAGGACATCAGCTATGCCACTACTGAGCCCTGCCGGGTGGGGCAGGGGGAGCACTAGGTGTGCAAATTCTCCAGCTGGAAAACAGAGTTGAGGGCCAACAGGAACTATCTTCCTGAGGCTTCCAGGCTTATGTTGGGAGCAGGGTCCCCAAACCTGCCTCCTACTTCCCAGCCACAGCCCGAGACTGGACACCCAATAAACCTGTTTTTCACTTTGAGCACTGGTGGCTGGTTTTGGGGGACAGCAGCTTGACCCGCCCACTGCCTAACGGAGACTGAACTAGTGCCTGGCGCAGTGGGCCTTGGCTTACCTGGCTGGGGACAAGGAAGGCTGGCCATCCGCACTGGGGCTATTCTTAGCTTGGGTTCTCAGGACCTGTGTTATAGGCAGTGTTTTTAAACTTTTTAAAGCCACGATCCAGTAAGAAACATTTTATATGGCAACCCAGTGTACAGATATGTCAAATATATGTGACGTAATAGTCATTTCTGCCATGTGCAGGTCACTCTGATACTTTTTTTTAAAGCAAATGTGCCACAGAGAGATCGGTGACATTTATTTGAAAAGGCACGTGATAAAAGACTGAATCTTTTCCCCAAGTGACATAGTGACAGTTCTGTCGTTTTAAACAAACCATACTTAGAATTGTTTTACTTAGAGTAGAAAAATCATAGTAGGATTCTATCCTACTGTATTTTATTCTCTGCCCATAAACCTGCAGTTAGTAAAACCCTTATTTAGGGCAGGTGCTTCGCTCCTTGGACGTTTTGACCCAGGCAGCCATTTATCTGTAATGTGAAGCAAGTTAAGAGTGTGGCCACAGCTTTGTTAGTGGCACAGACATTTAGATTCTCCCTCTGCAGGGTTAAAGCTGTGCTTTCATCAGGGCTTGCAAAAAATTCCAGAGCATGGAGGCTCTCTGTGAACTGGGTGGAGAGGCAGGTGGAGCTGAGCTGGAAGCGAAATAAACCCCTGCCTTCTCCATGAATTTTCCTTGTGCATCAATTTTGTGCCAGGCATTGTGCTGGGCCTCATTTCTTCTTCCGACCTCATTTTGGGCGGAAGAACACACCAGCTGTCTCCACTCTCCAGAGAGGGCAAGTGCCTCCCGCAGTCTGATCTCAAGTAATACTAAAACCGCCCTATCTTGAACCCTATGGCCAGGTGCTGGGCTGGGCGTTTTGCGTGTATCATGTCACTGCATCCTCCCCACTTTATAGGTGAGTAAATTGAGGCAGGGGAGAAGCGGCCAGGACTGGGATCTAGGTCTGAATTTGCCAAAGCTAGCCCTTGAGTCACTAACATGGGGGCGGTGGGGGTTCCAGGCCCCTATTTTTAGAGAGGGGTAACTCGTTCCCCCAGGATCTTGGGAGCCCCGAATGTGGCTGTGCGACTGCCTGTGGGAGATGAAGGGGCGGGTTCGCGGGTCCACACCGGCCACTTTCCAGGGGATCGTTTAAGGGGATTCTCCCCGTGCTTTAACTTTCCTGTCTCCTACACTCCCCCGCCTCTCTCGGGCCCGATTCGGCGCGTTGCCACACACCCGGGGGAACCCCGGAGCCAGCAGTTCTCCAGGAATTAGGAATTTCGTGATGTTCCCTGCCCGGGACTCGTGGAGGGCGGGGGAGCGTTACAAGGGGCCATCGCGCAAGTGCGGCCCCGGCCTCCGCCGCACACGGCGGGCTTCACTCGGGGCCCAGGCTACCGGAGAAGGCGCGCCGACCACCGGACTGGGCGAGTGTCCCTGCCCGCCCCGTCACTCGCCTCCCGCCCGTGGGCGCTTCTCTCCGCTCCCCCGACACTTTGCAGACGCTCCCTGCCGCCGGGCATGGGCACCGTCGCCGCCTTCGGTCCCCGGGCCGGATTCCGTTCCGTTCGCGGGTGGGTGAGCGCGGGTCCCTGGCCCCTCCAACCCCGGGCATCTGCGGGCGCGGGTGGTGGCCGCGTCCTTATCCGCGGCTAGGCACATCTCCCGCTGGGCCCCTCTGCCACCATCACTCCCCTTCCTACCCGCGGTACAAAGGGCGGGGGCGGGGGGCGCATCCCCACGCGCGACATTTCCCCGTACTGCGCACGCGCCCAGCCTCACACCACGAGGGAGGGGTTGTGCTCGTTCACGCGAGTGCAGGGCGTGAGGATGCCCGTGGGTGGGGGAGGCGCCAGCGTGTTGGCTGGACCCTCACCCCACACCTAGAAGTTGGGGTACAGTCTCCCCATGCACCTGTAACTTCTTTTGGCCCCGAGGTGACCTGTGATGAGGGTCTATTACATTCAGGCCAGGATGTCCCCACTCTGTGCACCCCACCGGAACCCAGCTCCTTCTTCCCCGGGTACCTAAGTAGGAGTGCAGGAGTTTGGACCCCCAGGTGTCTTCCCTCAGTCCTGGGTTTCCCCCTCCATCAGACCCAGGAGTCTGGGTCCTCAGCATCTCCCCACTTGGTCCTGAGGAGTTGGGTTCCACCTCCCGGATGTCCCCAGGAGTCCATTTGTGTCCCTCCATCTGTGGCTGCTCTTTCTGTCCAGTGCCTCTGAGGCGCTTACGTGTCCCGGTCCACTGGAGGCCGCGCCATGAATGACCGAAACAGTCGGAGGAAGACATGTGAGGAAGCTGGGACCCTGTCCCACGGCCACTTGCCCCTTTCAGCCCTCTCCTTCCCAGGGTTGCTGTGGTTGGGGGCTGGTCTGAGGGGCGCAGGGACTTCCCTGGGCTGACCCCCGGCCTCTCCTCTCCAGTGAAGAAGGACGATGAGGCCTTTGACATCGCCATCCCCTTTGACGAGTCGCCCCACCTAGACCCACAGCTCTTTTACAGTCTGAGCCCCTCTCGGGGAAACTTTGAGGGTGAGCTGGGGGTGGGGGTAGGGTGGGGAGGAACGCAAGTCAGCTGGGGTGCAGGGCCCTTGAGGTCTGGGGTGTGACCAGGGTCCCCCACTGTCACTAGAGCCTCCGGAGGCTGCATCCCCGACGGTGGCCCTGATGAACAGTGTCAGGGCCCAGCTGCACATGGCCCTGGAGAGGAACTCGTGGCTGCAGAAACGCATCGAGGACCTGGAGGAGGAGAGGGACTTTTTGCGATGTCAGCTGGACAAGTTCATCTCCTCTGCACGCATGGATGCAGGTGAGGTGCCTGTCCCATGAGGCTGTCCCCTCCTCAACTGACTCCTGGGCCCTGGCACCCAGCTCTGGCTCTTCTTGGGGACACAGGACCCTTCTCACCCACACACTCATTCTTCAGTGGCTCAGTGAGGACCTGGCATGTTTATCTGGGACCCAGTCCAGGTTCATTCCTGCTTCTGTTGATCGGCAGGACCCTGTGTGCCATCCCTTCCGCAGAGAGGGCTTTCCTTTGTCAAATATTTAGCCATGTTTTGGAGAATCTCAACTCTACACTCCCCCTCTTGGTGTGCAGCCCCTGGATGGCTCCTTCACAAGCTCCTACATCCTTCTCTGTGAATTCCACTGAAAGCCAGGATAAGGAGCCTGCATATTTTTCAAGATTGATGTTATTGGGGACCCTTGTGCTCTGGAACCACCTCTAGCTTAGGTTGCTGGACATAGTGCTGTCTCCCCACAATGATGGGAACCTACCCAGGATGGTCAGGCCCAATGGCCTCTGGACTTTCTCAGTGGGACCCCAATACTGGACCTCCCACAGCCCACCTTTTGGGGGCCCTGCATAAAGCTTCAGCGTTCCCTCTTCTAGATGGATGCAGGCACCTGCCATTCCCAGCCTACTTGACACAGAGCCCAAAATTTCTCTCAGGGTCTCAATCCTCCACCCCAGCCAAGGCCTTTCCTGCCTCTAGGGTGTCCAGAGTCCACTCTTCTGGAGGTCCTACTGGGTCATCAGAAAACCCCTCCTCCACTGTGGGAACCCCACATAGTTATAGACTCTCCCAAAGTCCCAGGTGGGCTCCTGGTCCATTTGGCCCCTCCCCCAGACCTCTTGTTGACACCAAGTTTAGGAGTCAGCTGAGCTTCCTCACCCAAGCCCTAACCCACAATCTCTGCCCCCAAATTTCAGCTTATTGTCCTATATTCAGCTCTCTCTCATAGACACCTCATTTCCTATCCATCTGTTTCCTTGGGTTCCCCCCCCCCCCATTCCTGGGGACCTGTGTGATGTGACCTCCATCCACATCTTGCAGACACACTTCTTACTTCCTCCTCCTACCTGTTCCTGCAGTAAATGTGTGTATGTCTCTCCCGCTTCTCTCCAGAGGACCACTGCCGGGTGAAGCCTGGGCCTCGGCGGGTTGAGGGCGACAGCAGGGGTGGTGCTGGGGGCGAGGCCTCAGACCCTGAGTCGGCAGCTTCCTCGATCAGCGGAGTATCTGAAGAAGGCAGTAATGCCGACAGGAAGAGGCAGAGGCAGAAGGGAGGCCCCAGCCGGAGGCGCTTTGGGAAGCCCAAGGCCCGGGAGAGACAGCGGGGTGAGCTGGGGATGCAGGGTGCAGTGTGAGAACTCTGGGCTGAGACTTGCTGTGTCACCTCCCTTCCCCATCTGTAACAGACCATACCTGCTGGTGGGTCCCAGCATCCACGTGTGGTCCTGGTTTATACTGTACATTTTGGTCCACCCTCCCTAGACCTTCTCAAGCATCAGTAACAAGGGGAAGGGCGATGGCTTAGGTGGCTGGCAACTCAGCCCTCTGAGCTGCTCTCATGTTTGTTTTTTCCTCCTCATCCTCTGGGCCTTCCTTCAATTCCCCCCACTCCCCTGCTCCATATCCTGTCTCCATTTCTCCCATCTCCTCACCTGCTTTTCCTCCTGTTTTCCATTTTGTTCTCCTGCTCTTCCTGTATTGTGCTCCTTGGGCATATCTTCTCCGTTTCCGTTCCTTTGGTCTGTGTGGGCCCCTCACCCCATCTGTCTCTTGTCCCCACATCTGCCCTCCTGTTTCTGTCCCACTTCCTCCACATTTGAATTCCCGGTATGGATCTGTCTCCCTGTGTCTATCTCTACCCTTCCAACCCTCTCTATTTCCATTTCCTCCTCACGTCTGTTTCTCCCCGTGTCTGTCTCTCTGTACCATATCTCTATCTGCCCGCTCCCCCATGTCTGCCTTTCTATCCCCCCTCCTTGGCCCTGCAGTGAAGGACGCAGATGGTGTCCTCTGCCGCTACAAGAAGATCCTGGGCACCTTCCAGAAGCTGAAGAGCATGTCACGGGCCTTTGAGCACCACCGTGTGGACCGCAACACGGTGGCGCTGACCACACCTATTGCAGAGCTGCTCATTGTGGCCCCCGAGAAGCTGGCGGAGGTGGGCGAGTTCGACCCCTCCAAGGAGCGTCTGCTTGAGTACTCACGCCGCTGCTTCCTGGCCTTGGACGACGAGACCCTCAAGAAGGTGCAGGCCCTCAAGAAGAGCAAGCTGCTGCTTCCCATCACCTACCGTTTCAAGCGGTGATCCCGCCCCACCTGGCCTGGGACACGCCCTCCGGCTCCCACTTCCCTTCCCCTCCACCCTACCTGGCACATGGGCGAGTGTGTGCCTGAGTGGTGTGCCCTCTCTAGGGCCTGGGGGTGGACTGTGTGTTCCTGTGTGTGCCTCTCTCCTCCCCATCCTGTAGACCCCCACTCCCACCCCTGGTCCCTTCTATATAGACCTGTCCTCCTTGCCTCCCACATTCCCAGCATCCTCTCCTTCCTCTGCATTCCCAGCGTTGGGGGGTCCTCATTTAGCCAGGCTCCCAAGAGCTACTGCCCAGGTGCTGGGTTCTGCCCTTTCCGAAACACTGGCACCCTTCCTGCCCTCACTGGGCCCTTCCTCCTAGGAAAACTGCAGGATTCTATGGGGCAGGGGGCACTGTACATACCCGTTCTCCGCCCCCAGCCCCCAGGACCCTCATTCCGTGCCCCCCCCCAGGTCCACGTGAGACAGATTATTATTCAGAGAATTTAAATTAAAAAGACGATAAAATTTGGAATAAACTAGGTCCCGGCCTCTTTCTGGGAGGGGGTGGCCGTTGCCCTGGAGACAGTGAGGTTTCCAGGAAGCAGGCAGTTGGGAGGGAAACGGGTTGGGAAGACAGGGTGTAATTAGCACCCCCGGAGGCTGCGGTGGGAGGGGGAGCAGCAGCTGTGTTCCGGGAACACGGAGGGGCAGAGCTCTGGAAAAGAGGCGTGACACTACCACTGGGCTGCTGGGACTAGAGGCGCGGCGGCAGGAGGCAGTACTCAATGACCTCTAGCAGAAGCGGCCACCGCCCGCCCGCTAGGTGGCAGTAATGGGAGATTCAGTCTCCTGGAAGCGTCCGCACTTACGCCGTTGCTACAGCAACCAGGAGAGGGCGGCTTTGCTTAACGGTCCGGAATTCAGTTCTTTCCCTAAAAGGGAGTCTCACGCACGCGTGCTGGAGGCTCTGTAACCCGTCCCCACAGAGCAGTGAGAAACCGCGCCTCAGACCAACCTCTACGCAGGCGCAGAAGCCCATCTCGCGCACCTCCTCTTTCACCCTGCGCAGGCGCACAAAGCCGCGCTGCCAACCTCCGCAGCGGCCGCGCGCACCGTTCATCCCGCTGGCTCCTTTTGTCTCGCGCAACCTTCTTAGGCCTTCCACGAGATAGGCCCTTCTTTTCCTCCACTCTCCCCACCCGGAGAACCAGGTGTCCGGAGCCGGGACCCCGCCCCTTTCTCGTATCCCTTCCCTTGACCCACCTCGTCTTCGTCCTCCCTCCCTTTTCGGTTCCCGAAGCCGGAAGGAGTCGAACAGACGGAAAAAGCCGAAGCTGTCTCCGTGAGTGAAGCCTTCCCGAAGCGTTGGCGGAAGGAGCCGAAGTTGTTCCAGTGGGGAGGAGTGAGCAAACGGAATCTCCGGAAAGAGCCGAAACTTGGAATCGATTATAATCTCTGGCGGGGCACCAGGGCGAGCGCTGGAAACCTTTGGGAAGTGCCGAAAACTAGGACGGTTAGGCTTGTCAGAAGTAGCGGGTTGCTCGGACAAGGCCGGCGGATAAGAGCGGAGAGCCCCTGCAGAAGCAGCGAAAGCCTGGGACGGTTTGAGTGGTCGGAAGAAGCCGAACCTTTGGCGGGCAGGGGGTGGCTGGGCGCAGAGGAAGGCGAGAACCTACGGAAACACCCGAACGTTGAAGAGCTAATTTCTGAAGAGTTTACAACCTGGGAACCCCCCGAAACCTCTTCGGGTATTTTCGGAAGCAGCCGAAGCCACCGCAGCCGACTCTCTTCTCAACAGTTCGGAAATAGCCGACACTCTTCGGAAACAAGCTCTGGGGGAGGTGTACTTTGCAGGCGGGCGGGCGGCCCGGGCTTGATTAGGCAGGAGGCGGTGGCGCGCCGGGGGCGCCCGGAAGTAGCCGAAGCGAGCGGCGGAAGCAGCCGAAGCGGCCGGAGCGGGCGGGCGGCAAGGCGAGGCGAGAGCTGTACAGGGCCTACGCGGCCATCTCAGCATGTCGGACTTCGACGAGTTCGAGCGGCAGCTCAACGAGAATAAGCAAGGTGAGGGCACCGGGGGGCGTGGGGCGGCGGGAGGGGCGGCTCTTGGCTTCCCTCTGTATCCCCCGCCATTTTCCTCGTCGCTTCCCCCTCCTCTCTGGGCCGTGCGGGCCTCGCTCACGTGACCGCCCAGCGTGCCTCCGCGCGCGGGAGGGGGTGGCGGGCGCGGGTGCACACGCGTGCGCGTCGCGCTTCGTTCAGCGCCCCACGTGGTTCCAGGCGGAGGTGGCACGGATGGGAGGGCCTCCGAGTGTCTCCTCGCTCACTCCTATTTTTGCTAATTTGGGAAGGAGAGTGTGTATATCGGGTCCAGTGATTCCCCCCTTTTCTCCCGCTGCCTTGGCACTTCCGCTTCCGGTCGGGCCTGCGGCCCGGGTCTCCACGCCCCCTTTGTTCCAAAATGGCGGCTGTGAGCCACCACCCCCCCCCTTCGTTCACGTGCGCGCGGGCAAGGCCGTGGCCTGCCCCGGCACTTCTCCGGCGGCTCCCCTTTGCGCGGTGTCCTGCGGACTCGCCCGCCGGGTTCCCAAGCGCCCCGGCTGCTGGTCGTGAGGGACCTCAGGTCACCGCGTGTGACAAGGCTAACCTCGTGAAAGAGGGGCACTCTGTGTACTATTTTTTTCACGCTGTGCATTCTCACAGTATTCCTATTCCCACACGTACGTTTTGCGTGCACACGGGCTTTGGCAGTGGCGACGATCACAATGTGTGGAATGTTTGTTTCCAATCTCTCCAACTAGGGACAAACGCCACGTTTTATCCGATCCCAAACTTGGGGCATCTAGATTCAGCCTTATAAATCATCTCAACGTAGAGATGGGGAAACTGATGCTCTGAAAGTAAGGGAACCTGGGCCAGTTGACTACCGTAGGAAATGGTGGGGGGCAAGTACTCTTAGGTCATGCCCAGTCAAGGCACGGGGCCACGCGGGTGACGATCAGTTTAGGGACTCGAATATTTGAAGTAGTAGAGTTATTAGACGTTTAAAAATTTTGTGGTCTTCCTATTTTGGTTTGAGAGCGGAGAAATTTAGGTCAAGGGAAGGTGGAGGGTTGAGCCTTGAGATGCCTGTGTTTGAATGGCTGAATGAGGGGCGCAGGACTTGCCCTTTGAACCCAGCCTAGAGTTGGGTAAGGGGGTAGCTGGATTAGGAAATAGGATCTGGGGAAGAAACCCTGGTTTTTGAGTGCCCTCGGCTGTCTGTCTTTACACGTTGTACCATTTAACAGCACAGGGTTGGGAGTTGATCCTATCTGAATTAAAAACTGCTTTGTTGTTTAGCTGTGCTACTTCAATACCTTTATGCCTGTTTGTTTTCATCCATAGATTGTCATCATCTTTTCTCCTCACAGGATTTTTGGAATAAGGATGATAGTTAAACTTGGGTGCCTGCCACGTGCTAGGCACCTTGCTAAGCTCTTTGCATGGTTTTTCTAAGTGCATTCTTATAACAGCCCAGTGAGGCTGAAATGATTTTGTTCTTTTTGCAGAGGAGGAAACAGGCTCAAAAAGTTTAAAAACTTTCCCAGGTCTGGTCAGAGGCAGAGCTGAAATTAAATGGGGTAACATGTAAAGTGTATGGTATGTGGTTTGGCATGCATTAAGTGCCCAACAAGACGTGTTTCTTGTGAAATCATCCCCAGTGTTATAAACTAACTCACAGAAGAAATAGAGGCAGGTCTTCAGCTCAGAGATGATGTCAGAGTTGGGGAAGGTGCATTCCAAACCTCAAGTCCTCATACATCTGGGGGGTAGATGGGACCCTAGTTTAAAGAAGAGAAAACCGAGTTTTAAAAGTTTACTTGCTCTTGTGTGGCTTTATACAGTTGGTAAGTGGAAAAGCTGAAACTGACACTGAGCTCTGGCTGGCTGCAAGGCCCCATCCATCGCTGGACCACCAGGTGGAGGTGGTTGAGCCTTTCCTTGAGGCTCTTGCAGATGTGCTTGCAGCCTGAGTGCTTGGCCCTCCTGGTACTGGGAGGTCAGGCCCTCAGCCCTCGCAAGTCCCCAGGGTTAGTGGCGCTGTTCCCAAATGATGCCAACAGCATTTAGAACAATCAGAGTTCCCTTTCTGTCTTTCTGTTCTGATCTGTCTTAGGATTTGGCGGGGGGTGGGGGGGGAAGGACTCCTGCCTTAGGGGGAAGCGCTGCCCATGGGTCACCCCACCTGTGGGTCTTATGTCTCTGAGCCAGCCTCCTCCCTGCTTTAGCCACTGCCTAGTGCACCTGTGTCTCCAGGGAATTAATTTATTTCTTGGTCTGCATCCCAGCACCCAGCAGGCATAACTGCCTTCTCTTTGTAGGTTCTTTTCTGCCTGCTTGTCTGTTTCAGAGCCTTAGCAACAGGAAATTCGGCTCTTGGGGCTTGTAGCCCATCCACCTCACAAGCGTGGAGCTAGAGGCCCAGAGCTCCTGTGTGCTTACCTGCCGCTCCCTGGCCATCTCCTCCTGGTTCCAGTCTTTGATTTATTTTTTTTGTCTCAAGGAGATAACATTGCCACTAGTGGTTCTTACCTGAGTTCAGGAGTGCCTGGTGCTTAACCGAACTCACTGATGTGATAGAGCTCACATTCAGGCTTTACTACTTTCTTGCTTTTTGGCCTTTGGGCCAGTCACGTGACTGTCCAGTGCCACAGTTCCCCTGTCTCTTACATGAGCCCCCAGCAGGGTTTTCCCAAAGCAGTAGTAGGGGTTAAGTGCAAGTAAAACATTTAGCACAGGTTCCAGCTTTAGGAAGCACGCCACTCTTTGCTGCTGTGTCTTTTCCTTTCTTAGGTGTATGTTTTTTCTGAGTTGCAGTGATTCTGGAATTGAGGTGCATTTACAAAAAAAGTTCATGTTAAATTATATCAGGAAAATACAAGACAACAGTGTGGATGAAACTAAAATCCAGTCTGAGTGCTTCTCCTTATTGCCTTTTCCGTTGCCTGTCCCCAGGAGCATGGTGACGGTCATGAGTACATTAACAGGGGCCTCATGGGTAGTTGAGGAATCAGAGGTTTCTTTGAACCCAGGAAGTAAAGTAGAAGGCAGTGCTCTAGCTTTCTGTGTTGAGGGTTTAGCCTGCACCTCCTTCCCAGGCTGAGAGGTCTCTTGGGAGCACAGGGTTTTGGCTCCCTGGCAGGGCTGTGCTCCATTCCCAGGTCCTGCCCCCCAAGCAGGCGAAGGGTTGAGGGAGCCACGTGGAGGCTGGAGCAGAGTTGTGCGCCAGGTCCATCCCCTCATGCACTGTGTACTTACTTGGCTTTGAGGCAGGACGGGGTGGTCTGGGATTTAGGTCTGCGTGGCTCAGAAAGAGGGGCCTGGGGAGGGTGTCCCTACTTCCTGACTGGCGCCCTACCTGGGGCCTGATGGTGGGACTGTGTGGGTGCACCTGGTTGATGGAGGTCTTTCCTGCGGGGCCGTGGGTCCCTTCAGGAAAACATCATTGGGTCTCTTGGTTCCCCAGCCTCTAGCCCTGCCCCTCTCAGGGACGACCCTGGGGTCAGGCCCCTCAGCCCTCGAGGGGGACCAGGAGCCAGCCTCCTCTGTCTTCTCTGGCTCCCCAGCTCCTCCTGAGCGTCCTCAGGTATCTTACACCCCGGGGGCATTTCCAGGCCCTCTCCCCTCAGGTAACCAGCTCCCATCCCTTGGTCCCCCAGGGTCCCTGGACTGGCTGGTGGACCCAAGCAGCCTGCTAACTCCCCATCTCTATCAAATCCCATCCCCTTGGGGGGTGGCCTCCCTGGGGCTGGGGCATGGCTAGCAGTGTGCGGGTGGGCTGGGCTGCGGGTGGGCTGGACCACGTGTCCCCATCTCAGCCTCTTCTTTCCCCTGCCCAGAGCGAGACAAGGAAAACCGGCACCGGAAGCGCAGCCACAGCCGCTCCCGAAGCCGGGACCGGAAACGCCGTAGCCGTAGCCGTGACCGGCGGAACCGGGACCAGCGGAGTGCCTCCCGGGACAGGCGGCGAAGAAGGTACTAGGCTCAGGAAGGGCATTGAGGGTGTCCCTGCTCAGACTGTGCGCCCTTTGCGTCATTCTGCTCCTGTGTGTTGCGGGGTGGGACATGCCACTTCTCTGTCTGGAATTCAGGGTTTTGTCTTTGGGGTGTGCTGCAGTTCTGGTGGGTTGTGGGGGCGGCAAGTTCTTTATCTGGGAGGCGAGTCTGCAGACAGGCTGTTGATTCTGTCCTCTCCTTCCTAAGGAGCTCCTCCCACCCAATCCAGACGAGGGCTTGGCTCCTCTTCCTACCCTCTTTCTGTGCTTCTCTGTGGGACTGTTTCAGGGGCTGTGCTCTGCCTCCCGGGAAGGGGGGCATCTCAGAGTAGAGCAGGACCTCTGTCTCTCCACCTTCTGGCTTGGGGTGCTGGTTTTCTGCTCTCTAATGCTTCTTCCCTCTCTAGGCACTCCTCTCTGTTCTCTCTGCCCCCTTAGGTGAGGAAGGGCGGGGTAGGTGGAAGTCCTGTCTTCTCCTATCTCAGTTTCTCCAACTAGAAAGGAGTCTGTCTGGCCCTTCCGCCTGTCCTCACTTTCTTTTTTCTGGGATGAGGGCTTTGGGTTCCGGAATGGCAGGGCCGAGGGGGCCTGCTTGCTGCTCGTTCACCTCGGCCCTGCCCCTGGGGCTCAGTGCCCGTGGGGGGGCGTGGCGTGTGGGGAAGACGAGGGTCCCCAGTCACCCCTCCCCATACCTTTCCCTCCTGCCCCCAGCAAACCTTTGACCAGAGGCGCTAAAGAGGAGCACGGTGGATTGATGTGAGCTTCTCTTCCTGCCCCTCCACCCTGATGCCACCCCTTCGCCTCCTGCCCCTGCACACCTGCCCATCCCTGTCCAGCCCTGGCCCAAGCACTTGCCTTGAAACCAGTCCCTCTCCCAGGCCTGGGTGCACCCTGACCCAGACCCTCTCCCTCTGGAGACAGCGGAGCTACTGCTGGGGAGCCAGGGGAGCCTGGGGGGCTGGCAGGCCCACTGAAGGCCAGACTGAGGTGGCCCTGCCCGCTCTCCCCCCTGCCCTTCCCCAGTCGCTCCCCTCGTCATGAGAAAAAGAAGAAGGTCCGCAAATACTGGGACGTGCCGCCACCTGGCTTTGAGCACATCACCCCCATGCAGTATAAGGCCATGCAAGGTAGGCTCCACCCTGGTGTGTGTGCAGACCCCCATCTGGGGGGTGAGGTTTGCGCCCTGGGCTCTGTGGCCTCTGCCCTTTTGAAGCCCCCGTGGTGGAGTCGGGAGCGAGGGCTCCCCAGGAGACCCGGCTTCTCAGAGGCAGTAGGACCATTGGGGGCTGCTGCCTTTGTCCTGTGGCCGAAAACTGGAGACCTTGCGTGTGGAGGGCGGCCCGGGAGCACCGGTCCATGGTTGCCTTGATGCCAGCTAATGCCTTGTGCCCCTTTTGAAGCTGCGGGTCAGATTCCAGCCACTGCCCTCCTCCCCACCATGACCCCGGATGGTCTGGCTGTGACCCCGACGCCAGTGCCTGTGGTCGGGAGCCAGATGACCAGGCAGGCCCGGCGCCTCTACGTGGGCAACATCCCCTTTGGCATCACTGAGGTACTGCCTTCCCCGCCCTCCCTTACCCTTCCCTTACCCCTTCCCCTGCTCCTTACCTTCCCTCCATCCCTTCCCAACCTGCACGGGTCAGACTCTGCTCCTGCAAGACCCCCCGGCCCCCTCCCAGACGGACGATGGAGTTGAGCCAGCCAGGGGCCGGGCTGGGGGTGGCCCTCCCTCCCTCCTCTCTCCTCTCCCGTCTCCTCTCCCCTAGCCTCCTCCCGCAACCCAGGGATCATGCACACACATAACTTACCTACGAATCTGAATCGTGTGGAGACAGACAGGGAGACTCGGACACACACACACACGCACACGCACACACAGACGCACGCCCTCATTTTCTGACACGCCTCTGTTCTCTGCCCTGTCCCCATCCTCTCCCACAGCCCTCCCGTGGTCGCTGTTCTTTTATTTTTGATGGCCCTGACCTCCCCACCTTCCCCATGCTCCTCTCCCTTCCCTCTCCCCACCCCTTCCCGTGGCACCCCTGAGAAGCCCGAGATCAAAGAGTTGTTTCCATTTCTCTTTAAAGTGAAATATTGTGGGGCTGAGATCCCTCGTAGCAACAAAAAGTTTGCTACCATCGGCGAAGGCAAGTAAGGTCCATTCTGACTTTCTCAACCTGCACTTTGCTACATTTGATGAACCAGCCCCCGGACTCCAGGGCCAGATCCCTCCACATCACTCTTCTCTCCTCCCCTCCCTCCACCCTCCTCCCCTGCCCCTGCGCTCCGCTCCCCTTCCATTTCTCTCCTCTTTGTTTCTTTCTCTCTTGACTCTGGGTCCCTGTGTCCTGCCTACTGCTTTTCTACTTTCCTACCATGTTCCTCTTTGTTGCCACTGGATGTTTCTTTTCCTACGTGTCCTGTCTCCTTGTTTTCTCTGTTTCGTGTTTTTCTTCCTTTCCCTGTGGCGGTGCCCCCCCCCATCTTTTCTCAACCCCCCCCATTGGACCCCTGGGGCTCTCCCCACACCTGTCCCGCCCCCTTGTCTCTGCTGCTGCCTCCTCCCTGTTCTCTCATTTCCCTCTTTTTATTCCTATGATTGACCTCTACGCCCCCACCCATATTCCACTGTTCCTTCACCCACCTCCGCCCTCCCCATTCCTCTCCCCTTCCCCCCAAACCCTCCGTGTCTCCCTCTCTCACCCTTCCCTCCTCTCTCCACCTCCCTCCCCGCCCCTCCCTGTCTCCTTTGCCCTCTGCAGGAGGCCATGATGGACTTCTTCAATGCCCAGATGCGCCTAGGGGGGCTGACCCAGGCGCCCGGCAACCCTGTCTTGGCAGTGCAGATCAACCAGGACAAGAATTTTGCCTTCTTGGAGGTGAGTGGGCATGGGCTGCTCTTTGGCGGTCTATCCTCTGCCGTCCCAGGCCCCTGGGGGCTGGGCTGGACTGGTTAAAGCACTGCTGCCCCTCACCAATCCATTCTCTTTCCTTCAGTTCCGCTCAGTGGACGAGACCACCCAGGCCATGGCCTTCGATGGCATCATCTTCCAGGGCCAGTCGCTGAAGATCCGCAGGCCCCACGACTACCAGCCTCTTCCTGGCATGTCGGAGAATCCCTCCGTCTATGTGCCTGGTGAGTGGGGTCTTGTCCCACTCTAACCTTCAGCCCAGCTGGAGCTGCTCAGCAGCAGCATGGCTGCTGTGGGATAGACATGTTTCCTCATCTGATCCCCCAAACCTTTGGGAGCTGGTTATCTCCCCTCTTGGTAGAGGTGGTGCCCGAGGCCGGAGAGGGTGAACTGTGGTCTGCTTGAGGACGCACAGCTTGTGAGTGGTAGAGCCAGGACCAGAGCACAGGCGGTGGGGGAAGTGAGGGCCTCGGGGGTCATTGTGAGTGTGTGTGTGTACAGGTTAGCAGTCAGTGTGCTGCCCAGCAAAAGCTTGCTGCCTGGTGCTCAGAGAAGCCAGTGCTATGACATAGGCTACTGAGAAAAGCAAAGGCTTTATTGAGACAGGGAGGCAAGGCTCAAATCTGTCCCCAGCCGAGGGTTTGGGGCAAGATTGAAGAGCTCGGAAGGACAGGCAGGGATCGGTTGGAGGGCTTCATTCAGCACCAGGGCTTCTTGGACAGTGGACCCTTTCTCTGGCCGGGTGATCCAGTCCCATTAAGTCCCAGCTTTTTGGTCCCTGATGTCACTGAAGGTCAGAGTTCTCTCCTGTGCGTGCTTTGGTGTGTGACTTACATGACAACGCTTTTGTCCTGTTGTTCCTGAAGAACCACTCAGTATCTTGTGAGAAATAGGAGAAGGCCAGTTTGAGCTGGTTCTCAGTTGCAAGTGAAGCTCCCGGTGTGGAGACTGACACCTGGGTGTCCCTTATTTCTTGTCTCTGTTCCTGTGGACTCCTGTGTACTGGGCCCTGCCCCGTAGTGTGTTCAATGTCATTCTGGGTGGTAGGTCAAGGCAGACCTGGGGTCCTTACACTTCTGTTTATAAAGGGCCAGATAGCAGATATTTTGGGCTTTGCAGGCCATATGGTCCCTGTGGAAACTATTCTGTGGTTGTAGTGTGAAAGCAGCCGCAGACGACACCTTAGCTGGCGTGGCTGTGTCCCATTTCTCTGAACATTAAGGACTGACATTTGGGTTTCATACAGCGTTTACGTGTCATGAAGTTACCTTTCAGAGGGCTTGTATAATAGGTTGTTCAGAAACCGGCAGCAGGCTGGTTGACAGTGGAGTATGTTAGGACTCAGGCCTGGGTGTGACTCGGTGAGGGTACAGAGAGCACTGTGGGCTTGGGAGAGCCAGAGCCAGAGCCAGTGCTGCTGTGGCTGAGCTGGGCCCAGATCTCAGGCCCTGGAGTTGTGCAAAAGTGGGGTGAGCACTGGTGTGCTCTGGGTATGGGGATTGGAGAACGTGAGATTCTGCCGGCTGAGGCTTTGCACTGAAGGCTGAGTCAGCTCTTCACTTTACAAAGCGATAGGGACCTGGAAACCTAGAGAGGGCAGCAGCTTGGGACCTGGACCTGGGTGACTGGCTTGTCTCCTGAGCTCTCCACCATAGCAGTTTGGGTAAATTCAGTGCATCTCTAAATTTTTAAAAAACTGACGTGTGATGAACACTGACGTTCTCTTAAGTGTACAGCCTGATGAGTTTTGCCGTGTGCACACATCAGTGGGACTGGCTCCCATGTCAAGTTACAGAGCATCCCTTTCTGCCTCTTTCCAGTAAATCCAGTGTGTTTTAACTCCTTTTTAATTATGTGAGGAGTCCTGTCGGCCCCCCCCCCTCTCTGGATGATGCTACTGTGTCAATCACTGTCCGAGGTGTGCTCTGTGGTTCACCTGTTGAATTTTGTGACAGTCCTGTAGTACGAGGGTTGGTGAGTAACCCTGCCTGTTTTTTAAATAAAGACAGACTGGCACACAGCCATACTGTGATCATTGTTTAGGCTTCTCTTGTGCTGCAGTAGCCAAGCTGAGTGGTGACAGACCCCATGGCTCACAGAGTGAAAACATTTCCTACCTGACCCTTACTGCGGTGGATGTGTGGTCCCATCTCAGGAGGAGAGCGAGGCTTGGATGACTACTCACATGCTCAAGGCTGTGGCCGGTGGAGCCTTGGTGGCGGGACTGCCTGCACTGCCTCTCATCTGTCCTCTTTTGTCCTGTACAGACGCATACGTCGCAGATAATGGGGACAGTTGCTTTAGATCATCTTCCCTTAGTTGCAGGCCATTTTTTAGAGGTGGACATTACTGTGACTAAGCACCAGAAAGGTCATTCATTGGCCTCCTCTTTTTGGGGGAGGTCTAGGCGTCCATGCTGTGGGTGCCTTCTGTCCCGGGGGTTGGCAGAAAGTGTGATTCTGTTTGTAATTCGAGCATCCTCTGCTCCTATTTTCTCTGTAATAATTTGCAGAGGAAAAAAATGCTCATATTTTGATTGTCCTTTCTTAATAAAAAGAAATTAGTGTTGTGACGGAAGGGGAAAAGCATTTGATAAAATTCAGCAGGCGCTTTTGGTTGGAAAAGAATTCAGGAACCTGGAAGGCAGCTTCCTCATTTTGACAAAAGGGTACAGACCTGAAACTGAACACACAGCATGCCCAGTGCTGGTGTGGGTCCTGTGTGCAGTCTGTCTTGAAGACAAGGTGGAGACCTGGCAAGGGAGAGCTGCAGCTATCTTTGGAGGTAGGAAGGCACAATAATCTGAGTTTGTGAGTTCAGCTTGGCCCTGAGCACCTCCCAGTGCCAGGCTCACCCCTCATTCCAGGAAGAGTCGGTTCTACCTCATGGGTGCCTGCTTGTGGGCTTTAACCCTCTGCTCCTTCGGCAGAATTTTGCCATGTTGTGCCTGGTGGTGAGTGCTGGGGGCACTGTAGTGCATGAGGTGGTCATGGCCCTGCCAAGGAGGAGGTGACACTGTGGGCACAAGAAAGATGGTTTCGTTGTTGGGGGTCCAGGGTGGCCTTCAGAGGGGAGGTGGGAGAGAACAGATGTGTGAAGCAGGGAGAAAGCCCACAGCCTGCATGTTTGGGGACCTGTCCATTATGTCAAAAATTGTGTCAGCTGGTCAGAGGCTTGGTTTGGGGCACTGAGACAAACCTGAGTTCCCAGTTGGCATTGCTCATTCCTGGCCATGGGATCTTGAAAGGTCATTCTCCCTGCTTCAGAACGGAGTGTCCCCAAAGGGTCTGCAGTGACTGTAGCACTGACTGTTCTCCCCAGAGCTGGTCCCCTGAGCCCACCATTAGGTCTGGTGTGATGTACACACGTTGCATGACTTGTTCTCATCTATGAGTCCTTTGGTAGGTGCCATGTTCTCCCCACGTGAGGTGCAGGGAGCCTTGCTTGGTACTGTGCCCCAGACCTGGATTTAGAGGACCTGACTGGGGCCCTCAGCCCCGTCGCTTCCCTGAAATGCATGGCACCGCGAGCACAGCTCGTGTTCACCCAGCTCTTCACTCACCTACCTGGTGGCATAACCTCTGTCCGTGTCCTCGTCTGCTGTCAGGCAGGTGACAGCACCCCCCCCCCCAAAAAAAAAGCCCTTACCTTAGTTCTCTGTGGAATTGAATTGAGTGGGTTCTGGAGGCCCTTTTTTCCTGCCTCCCTGTGCCTTAGTTTATCCTTATGGTACTGTGGGTGGGTCTTTAGATAGCCTTGAGGTAACAGATTGACTGAGTTTTACCTGGCTGCTTAGTCCCAGGAACTACCTGGTCAGAGGGCCCTGCTCCCAGGATTCTTGTTCCCCTCTGTGTTGGGCAAGCAGGTCTTGTGGTCTGAGAGGCCTGCAGGGTGACATGAGCATAGATAGGTTGGAGGGGCTGCATGGATGGTGGTGGGAGAGGGAGCACCCTCTGGGGTGTGGTGGCTCCAGGCCTGAGGCTCCTCCTTAAACCCTGTCTCACCACCTCCCCAAGGTCTGGGGGGAGTGGGGTAGGTGTGGGGCTGGCGCTTGGGACTCCTAGAAATGGAATGACAGATTTGCGAAGAAGCCTGTGGGACGTGGAGCTGAGACACCTGACAGGCACACATCTGAGTCCAGAGTTGAGTGCAGAGAGCAGGATTCGGGTTGGTTGCTAAACCCACTCGCCTTATGAGACCTTGCTGTGTTAGCTTCTGTTGGACGCCGGGCACTTCCCAGCCCTCGGACATAGTAGAGTCCTCTGAAATCACATATGCCTGAGGCCAGAGAGTGACGTGCCTGTGTGGCTGTGCTGAGTGCAGGGAGGGCAATTCTGAGAGCCTTACTTGCCGGGAGACCTGATTGAGCAAGGGTGACCAGGGAAGGGGCTCTTGAGTTTGAGGCCTGAAGTTGAAGAAGAGGTTGTGTGTCCTCGAGACCCCTCAGGTTTAGGTATGAGTTCGGTGTTTGTGGCCCCACAGGGTGTGACTGTTGCTGCTATGCCACACTGGTGTCTGTCATACCGTGTTATTTGGAACCTCAGAGGCTGGGCAGGTTTGGGAGACAGTTTTCTCTGTCAGCCGTCACCGGGCCGGGAGGAAGGCGGGCCTCTCGCTGTAGACTCCTCTAGGGCTCCGGTGACGGCCTTTTGCTGGGCATCGAAGTTCTTTCCTCTCTTCTCTCAGGAGTTGTGTCTACCGTGGTCCCAGACTCTGCCCACAAGCTTTTCATCGGGGGCTTACCCAACTATTTGAATGATGACCAGGTAGGCCTTCCACGCCCCCTCTGACATCCACCCCACACATTTACTGAAACAAACCCTGACAGTGTGGCCACTACCCCTACAGGTGAAAGAGCTGCTGACATCATTCGGGCCTCTCAAGGCCTTCAACCTGGTCAAGGACAGCGCCACCGGGCTCTCCAAGGGCTACGCCTTCTGTGAGTACGTGGACATCAACGTCACAGATCAGGTGAGCCCTGGGCCCAAGGTGAGGCCATGTCCACCCTTGCCCCACCTTGCTCTGTGTGTGTGGGTGGGAGGTGGCCAGCCGGTGGCGGGGCCCGCCTGGGACTTTTCTAGTTTTCATCCCTTTGGCTTCCCCTCTTCCCCCACCAATGCCCAGCTCTCTGGGGTATTGGGGCTTGAGGGGAGGTGTTGGGCTCCTGGCCCCTGACTCGCACCTCTCCCCTGCGCCCCCCACCCCTCATCGTCCTCCAAACGCAGGCTATCGCAGGGCTGAATGGGATGCAGCTGGGGGACAAGAAACTGCTGGTCCAGAGGGCAAGTGTGGGAGCCAAGAATGCCACGCTGGTGAGCCCCCCGGCACGTCATCTTCCATTGGCTAGGGGGGCTAGGGGGTGGGAAGGGGTGGGGTAGGTCGGGTTCTGCTCAGCTCTGCCCTGGGCTTTCCTGGGCCTCAAGGGCAGGGCACGGTCTTCTTGGGATGGCATCTGAGGGAGGGTGGCCCTGTAACGCCCCTGCCTGCTCACTCCACAGAGCACCATAAACCAGACGCCTGTGACCCTACAAGTGCCGGGCCTGATGAGCTCCCAGGTGCAGATGGGTGGCCACCCGACTGAGGTCTTGTGCCTCATGAACATGGTCCTGCCCGAGGAGCTGCTGGACGACGAGGAGTATGAAGAGATTGTGGAGGATGTGCGTGATGAGTGCAGCAAGTATGGGCTGGTCAAGTCCATCGAGATTCCCCGGCCTGTGGATGGTGTTGAGGTGCCCGGCTGTGGAAAGGTGCGTGTGTGCGCTTGTCAAGAGTGAGAGGTGGCATTGAGCAGGCCCGAGTGTTGCCCATTTACTAGGGTTTTGGGCAGGCGGTGCTCAGTGTTTGGGGACAGTGAGGAGTGGGGCGGAGAGCAGTGGGTGACGAGGGTGGCAGCTGGGGCTCAGTGTGGATCTGTTAGCTTTAGACCCTGGTGGTGGATTTGGGGATGTGGGAGGTGAGGGAGGAGTCAAGTGTGATGCTCAGCCTTCTGGCTCTGGTGACTGGGCGGGACTGCAGTTGAGAAGCAAGGTGGGGTGTGCAGGTTTGGGGGAGGGACATGACAGTGTTGTGGGGCTGGCTGGCTTTGAAGTCCTGAGACACTGCAGCAGAGATGTGTAGGAAGCAGTGAGCTGGACAGGGCTGCAGTCCCAGCGTGAGGTCCAGTAGGAACCTGGGCAGCACTGACTGACATTGATCCCAGTTTGGGTGTTGCTAGATGAGCTTGCCAGGGAACAGGAGAGCATCATGGGGGGCATCATGTCCTCTCGCCTGTTCTCCTGCCCTCTTCACTGGTGCAGTAGCCATCCTTGTTGGGTGTCAATTTCCTTCAGTGCTGTCATCAGCACTAGAATGGAGCCTAGAACCTGGCCCATGTTGAGGCTGAGTAAATACCATACTTGGAGGAACCAATGGAAAGATCCTGCCTGGTCTGTGGGATCAGCCTACCTGTTTTAGTTTTAAACTGTAATTCTCATTGTTTCCAGACAAAAAGAGAAACTCCTAGTGATAATACATTATTTAAGTTGTATCACAGCACATATAACAGTATTAACAAAATTATCCTCAGTACTACTCAGTCTATGATCAGACTACTCAGTCTTTAAAATGTCTTAAAACATTTTACTGTTTTAAAAATGTCATTTATAAGTTGCTTTGTTTAAGGATCCAAACAAGGAACCATGCAATTTGGTTTCAGGCTTTATAATTTATCAGTTCTGTATCACCTCCCCCACTCCCTTATTTTTTTTTTGGCAAGTCATTTTGTTGAAATAATAGGAGCGTTTGTCTTACAGGATTCCCCATGTTCTGAATTAGGCTCATTATCTGCCCCTCCCTCCACTTAACTGTGAACTGGTGGTTCAAGCAAGATAGACTCTTGAGTAGATCAAGGTTCAGGTTTTTTTTTTTTTCCCCTTTTGCATCAGCCTGGGTTTGAATCCTAATTTTTGAGCTTCCCTTACTTCATCTGTTGTCTGGGGAGAACATGGCCCTTGTGGTGGCTTGGGGCCCACCTGGTGTAGGAGATAACACAAGTGACCTCTCCCCACAGGGAGCTTGCCCATCCACTGTGGCGTTCGAGCCCAGCTTGTTTCTACTCTTTCTCCATGCCTGTGTGCGGTTCTGCTCTGTGCTTTCCTGGTTTTTGATCTGGGGTTTTGGAGGACGTTTGGGTAAATGTCCCCAAACCTCTTTCCTTCTCTTGAACTCCCAGGATTTCCGGGCTTGGGTAGATGCTGCTGGTTGCTGAGTGAGCTAGCTCCTCCTTGGGGGTGGCAAAGCCATCTGGCCTTCACAACCTGCCTCTTGTTCCACAGATCTTCGTGGAGTTCACCTCTGTTTTTGACTGCCAGAAAGCCATGCAGGGGCTCACGGGTCGCAAGTTCGCCAACAGAGTGGTCGTCACAAAATACTGTGACCCCGACTCTTACCACCGCAGGGACTTCTGGTAGAGGCGGTGGGGGA